AGAAAGATATAGTCTATTTATGGTAGGACTTACAAACTGATATTCCAACTTCATGCTTGATCAATTTCTGGTGGAGAAACTGAACAAAGCTCACGTATTTCTTCTGAAATTATTTGTCAAAATAAGAATTAAAATCTCTATAACAAAAAATATAATCCAGTACTGCCCCCTGGCATTCGATATGTGTTAGAATGAGTTCACTGGATGATTGCCAAATGGTACAAAAAGTTAGATACTTAAGAGTCACATGACTTAGAAATCAGTTCTTCAGAGTCACATGAGTCGCTACATTGCATTATGACAAATGGATCTGAGTTTTGTGATCTTTTATATGGATGTCTAGCAATTGAAGCTTGGCTTAATATTGGAGGTGAGGTGAACAATTAGTAAATTACCATAGTAGCAGTGCCATTTCAGCTAAAAATAATGACAAATGGTTCATGTAGTACATATATATATATATATTTATATATATGTTTATTTTTGCTAGACTTTCTCATATCAAGAGTAGTAGTTGATATATAATTGATGTTAGCTCTTCCTAAATCACATTTTGGTTGAAAATTATGGAAAATAATCAACTTGAATTCTGCGAGTTGATTGGTTGAAGAGTATTTAAGATGTTATTTGGGTGAAAGTCTACCTTATCTTTGGAGTTTTATATTTCTCTAAGCTTGGTTCTCCATTTCCAATGCCTCCATTAGTACTTTAATAACTCCCTTGAAGACTGTTGGCTGTCATTATAAAAATTTGTGAAGATGTTTCAAGCATTAATTGCTTTCATGTCATGGTTTATGTACTTGATTTTGTTGTTTTAGTTCCAGTTAGGCATCTTAAAAAAACATACTTGGTACTTGTTTGAGAGTTAGGTAAGTCTGTAGATTTTTCAACTTGAGGAAATAAATGCTTCTTAGGTCATGTAGATAGGTAATCAGAAATTGTGAATCTCTGCTGGATGATCACATTATTTAGTTCGTTGTTCATGTGTGGGAGGCAAATCTTGTGTTTTTCAGCTTGGTATTGTAGATTTTCCTAATAATTACTTTGATAAGCATGCCAGTTCTTTATTGAAAATTCTGGCTTAGGTGATGGAGACAGTTATTTAGAAATTGTTGATTCTTTGCTGATGCTCGCATTTTATAGTTCACTAATTATGTTTGGAAGTGTAATCTTATGTCCTTTGGCTAGTAGTGTTTAGATTCTTCTAATAATTATTTTGTCGTATACACCACTTCTTGACTGAAAACTCTGGCTTTCCATGTTTGGGGTGGCTATGCTTATTGTTCTCCCTGAAATTTTTTCTGAGAATCGACCTTTTTGCAGATATATGTACTGTCATGGTGATCATTGCTTTTGTAACTTAACACATCATTTCTAGACTAATATAGTTGTTATTACGACTCAAGTTAGTGTCGATTGTACCTCATCCTGATCTATCTGTAATTCACGATTGGCAGATGTTGAGATGGCTATCAATGACAGCATGAAAGCCTTGAAACCTGTTGGAAAGAAGCTGAAGAAGAAGATCAAGTTGGCCAAGAGGAAGCGTCATGGCAAGGGCAAGATCAGGCGGAAGCATAATGTGTAAGGGTCTATGGCTGGTGTCTCAATAGATGATTAACCTAATAGCTAACATTTCTGCTGGAAGCTGTTTTAGCTTTGATTATCCTGTGGTTTCTGTTCCCGTGTTGATTTGGGTTTTAAAAGAAATGCCTTGTTTGGACAGCAATTTTCCAAAGAAAAATTATTACGTTTTCCGTGAACACATTTTCCAATCATTTTTTTTTTTCTTACATATGTCAAATTGCTACAGTAATTTTTCTACAAAAAAATTCCAGAAAAATGCAATCCAAACAAGAAGAAGTTGTGTTTGCATTAAGGGATTTGACCAAGGATTTGAAAGCCTCTCAAATCCTCTCCAAATTGCATACAGATCTCCACAAGACAATAATATACAAGAGAACCCAAAATAAAAGGTCATAATGATGACAGAGGCCAAAATAGTTGATCTTCATTAAGCCCTCTATCTAAAGAAGAAAAACCCCCTGAAAATGATGTGCCATTTAAATCCGTAGATGGCACATTGCATGCGGTTGGATTGGAGGAGAATCGAAAATTCTTTCTGCTAATTGTATCATTTTCTTCTAATTGTGATACCTTAACTCCTATTGATCACTTTCAATGCATTATCATGAACTTGTTAGACCCTTTGTGCTATTAATTTTACTAACATTGTCATTGATTGGACTTGAATGGAATAAAACTGGAAGTTTAGATTGTAAAGTGCCCAAAATTAAAAGTTTAGAATGCAGAGTATCCAAAATTGAAATTTAGTATGCAAAGTGAAAAAGTAAAGTACAATTTTGAAGGTACAAATTGAAGTTAATTCGTGGAAAAATAAATAAATAAATAAATAAATAAATATATATATATATATATATATATATATATATATCTGTATGTAAAGCTCTATCTTCTTTTTGTTCATATAACCTCACCTTATCCCCAACAAAAGGAATTATGTTAAGGCCTAAAATTGTTGGGATTCGATTGTACTTATGTGAAAACACTTGTCTCCTGGACAAATATCTAATTGACGAACCTCTTATTTAGTGTAACATTATGGTAAAGAAATAGTACTGGATGAAGTTTGTTGAACCCTGACATACTAACAAATCATCCATTCCAATGAACACACTAATTCGGAAACCTTAAGTTATTTTATTGATGATATGGAAGAAATCACCTTATTCAATGCGCTTGAGATGCTAAAAATCGAATCATTTTGAAGACAAAAACCTAATCCGTAGTCTCTAAAGTGGCAAATAGAATTGGTGTCATGTCTTCCTGTCAATCTGGATTTGAACCTCTCCTCCGTCTATCGCACAGGACTTGTCATGTGCGTCTTACCCTTCCTTATAGTTGGCGAGCTATTGCATCGAACGAAATTTATCTTTTTTTTTTTTTAGTCAGCAACGATACATTTGTATAACCTACTTTATCCTAATCTAGGGGAGGGGGAGCTTAAGGAGGCTGTTGTAGGGGTTAGTGGGTATACAGACCCAACTAGACCAAGAGAATGCTATGGCACAACCCTTAAATTTTTTTCGCTGCTGGTGAGGTTTGAACTCTCACCAACAGCCCAAGGAGGGACTTAAGTCCCTCCCTAGTGGCTACTGAGCCATTGGTCCAGTGGTTTGGAACGAAATTTATCCGGTGCGCACTTTCGAATAGCGGCTACGGTTCCCTTGTCAAAAAGAAAAAAAAAAAGGCGGCAAGTGGCAACACAATTATCTGATTCGTGCTCATTCTACATTCTAAAAGAAAAGGAGCAAGAAGCGAAAAGACAATCAGAAATAATTCACAGACGATGACAATTTTAAAAAATATTGAAGCTGTAACACGAGTTTCATGTCTACCTTGTACTTGTCGACGTGTTTGATGTTTCTTTGTTTCTACTTACTGTTTTTAGCGCTATGGAGCTTCAATGATGGGATAGGCTTCTCAACCAAATGTTATTCATTCAATTATTTTTTGGTCAAACGAGCAAGATTTGCTTGCTTCTTGGGCATGTCCCAATAATTGAAGAGGTAGGAAGGATTTTTCCCAATAATTGGAGTAATTTTTTACCAAAAAAAAAAGTCTGGTAAAAACCAAAAGAATTTGATTAATAATGAGACTATTCTATCCACATGTTATGAAATAACAAAAATGTGGATGTCCCTTTGTATTCCCAAGGGGATTAATTCATGATTTTATGGCTACTTATGTATAGAAGTTACAATTCATAAATCTATTCATGTAGTGGAGAAACCGTTTCATAGGTTTCTTCATATTATTGTAATAGTGGATGTTTAATAGGATTTATGTACCTTTAATCTTGTAGTGCCTATATATAGAGGTACATTGAAACCCTTTGGGATGACTTTTGTATCTTATTGGAATATAAGAATATTACTCTCCATTTCTCTACTTCTTTCTCCAATATTTCACTTGATATTATAGTAGCTTATTTGATTAGTTTTATAACACGTTATCAGCACGAAAGCTCTTCTTTTGAGCAAAGGCGAAAACGAAGGCGCTACTTTGAGCAAAAGTGAAGTACAAGATTTTGGCTTAACAATTTTTTCTTTGTGTGTTATTTCTTTAATACGCACTGTTAATGCTGCCTAATGATGGGACTTATATTCGATCGAAATAAACATAATTCAGGCCGAAGCCTTTGTACCACCACGTTCAGAATTGGCCCTCCCATTCACGCAGGCCTCTCATGCGGAATGGGACTCCATCTCAATTAACAACAAAACATTGACAGAATGACTTGGTTTGAGGGCTTTAGATGCTTTAGTGGGCTGATTGACGCCCCAAAAAGAAAAAAAGAGTATGATTTATTGGCTGAGATTTCAGAATAGTTTAGTGACGTCCGGCGCACTTTACCCTTGTGTAAATTATTGATAGCTTTTGGTACTAATGCGTTAATAATTATTTTCTGCTTAGCCACTCGTGCATGTACAAGTGTACATGTTTGGTAGCACGTGGATATTTTATTGTTGAAATTAGCTGTAATCATTTTACTAGCCCTGATTAATTAGTCTAATACCCACTAGGTACATCTTTCAATATCATATTCCACACATTTAGTCTCTCAATCAATGGGGAATTTGCTTCACCTGGATAGCTCGGTTGGTCACGGCCGTCCTCAGGATCGGTTGTCCATCCCCCAACCAGGATTCGAGTCCCAGAATTAACGTGTTCAAAGAGAAGGGGCATCTTCTCTTGAACTGTAGGAGGATTAGTCGGGTCCGGCGTATTCGAAGACCGGATACCTCCTACGTACGGGAAAAAAAAATCAATGGGGAATTTAATATTATTTGCTAAAAATAATGACTAAACCTCAAAAGCTGAGGTGGGACAAATCAAATCGATCCTAATCAACTAGAACCATTTTATATATATGCATGATCATCACACCTGATATTATTCACCAAAAGCTGCGACTTACTTGAGAACTAAGAGAGTGACCTGGTAACAATTGTGGTGATAAAATTGCCCTTTATAGGTTTTTTCTGTTGCTATGGTTTGTAATGTTTGATGAATGCAATCTTCCTTTTCATGCAGGTTGACGATCAACCAAGGAAAGCATAGATATGGTGAAGCAGAAGCAACAGCTTTTGCCTCTTTTTACATTCTCCTGTATACTCTTCCTCCTTTCAACAGGTTATGTCTTGGATGCTGCTGGGGCAGAACCATCTCAAGCCCTCAATCGCAAGTTTTCATTGGATGGTATTCTTCGTAGCGAAGAAACAGAAAAATATGCTGTGATTTTCGATGCTGGAAGCACTGGTAGCAGAGTTCATGTCTTTCGCTTTGATCCAAACATGGATCTTCTTCGCATTGGCCAGGATTTCGAGTTTTATGACAAGGTAATAGTGATTCAGTCAACTATCTCGAGATTATTTAGGCAAAGTCTTTATTAGATAATAGATCAAGTGGTCAAAACTGAACTACAGCCACTAATTTTAGAGAGAGTATAACACTATAGTAAATGAATCGAAGCTGAATTAATTTTCACCGCATAATCTATGATCTGTAGGTGGATGAAGTTTTAGCTCAATTGTGTTGTCCAAAACTGCTAATGAATCCAGAATACCACTTTTAACAGTGTAACATGTGTATGGTTGATTAAATTTCTTAATTAGAAGTATCCTGTGTCTGAAAAATACACGAAAATTTCGATAGTTTTTTGGTTTATTTCGTTCATGCAGACGAATCCAGGGTTGAGCTCCTATGCGGATGATCCTCAAGCTGCTGCACTATCTCTAAAGGCCCTATTGCTGGAAGGCCAAGCAGTTGTTCCAGAAGAGTTGCGTCCTCAAACGCCAGTTAAACTTGGGGTCTGTTTATAGCAGTTAATTAAAACCTCAATTCCTGATAGTAATCTTTCCAGAAATTTTGAAGTTACTTTTTATCAATCGTAGGCAACTGCTGGTCTTAGGATGTTGAAAAATGGTGCCTCTGACGAAATTCTGCAAGCGGTAAATTCTTTCTCGTACTCAATTTTTCCCATGTCCCAGAATTTATTTGTCTGCCTAACCCAAAAAAAAAAAAAAAAAAAAGGGGGACAAATTACATTTTATCCCCTGTGGTTTAGTATTTTCTACATAACCCCCATATGGTTTCAAAAGTCATACATCATATCCTCATGGTTTGGATTAAAGTGTCAAAGTGACGGAAATGATCATTGGTAATGGAACTTTTTAAAATATCGAAATTACTCTTATAAATACATGACCCACTAATCTCGTATGATTTTATAGTTTACCATATAACTCTCTTATGGTTTAATATTTTATCATATAACCCCTTTTGTAGTTTTCAAAATATGCACATAACCCCTCTTGGTTAATAAATACTTTCAACTTTACATAAGGGTATTTTTGATATTTTAGGTGATTTCGTTACAAATGATCATTTCCATCACTTTGATACTTTAATCCAAATCATAAGGGGTTATATATAGCTTTTAAAACCATAGAAGGGTTATGTAAAAAATTACTAAACCACATGGGGTAAAGTGTAATTTACCCAAAAAAAAAAAGGAAAAAACCCAAGATTCTTTTTAATCTATTTTTCTTTAAAAAGGTGAGAGATTTATTCAAGAATGAAAGCTCCCTCGAATACAAGGCAGAATGGGTCTCCATTCTTGAAGGATCAGAAGAAGCCTCTTATATGTGGGTAAGTTAGACGGCTCAAAAGATAATTTCTTTTGTTTCAATTTTCATCTCAATTTCTCCTCAGCAGGACCTTTTCTTCTTTAATAAATAAAGGGCAAATTCCACTTTACCCCTGTGGTTTAGCATTTTTTCACATAACCCCCCTATGGTTTCAAAAGCTATACATAACCCCCTTATGGTTTGTATTAAAGTGTCAAAGTAACGGAAATAGTCACTCGTAACGGCGTCACCTAAAATGTCAAAAATACCCTTATGTAAGGTTGAAATTTATGTATTAACCAAGGGGGGTTATGTGTATATTTTGAAAATCATAAGGGGGTTATATGGTAAAGTATTAAACCATAAGGGGGTTATATGGTAAAATATAAAAATCATAGGGGTTAATGTGTCATGTATTTATAAGGGTGGTGCATGGATGGACGACAATACTCAAAGAAATTTCCCAATGCAAATAATTAATAAGCCATGAAATCTGTAAGACAATACTATAAAATTGTCCATCATTATCAAAAAATACTATAAAATTGTCCAAGGGTTGCAGACAAAGGTGATTCTGATTCCTAAACCGAGATTTGCTTTGGACAAAGATATCTCATTCTGACCTGTACATGTTATTGAACAGAAACAGAGACGAGGGAATATATATACCAACACAAACGGGAAAAAACAAATGATTAATTCCATTTTATACCCTCAACTATACTTAAATCCTCACTTTGCTCATTAAACTTTAGGGTTAATTTCAGAAACCTCCCCTGAGCTTCATCCTAATATCACCTGACACTCTCAAGTTTTCAAAAATCTCACATACCTCCTCTATCAATATGATGTAACTAGATGTCCCGATCAGAGATTTTGAAATGATAAACTTAACTCCAATATTTTCCTATTTTTTTAAGTAGCAAAAGGTTGGAAAAAGATAAGAAAAAACATCTACGAGCTAAAATATCTAAAAACAAATAACTAGAATGCCATCTAAAATATTTTTCTCCGATTTTGTTGCAAAAATATTTGCTTTTAATGTTCATCTTTCCCACAACTGATTCAAAAATTTTTGTTTTTTTATGTTCATCTTTGCCACAATCAGTCTCCTAAAATTTTCAATACAATAATGTTCCCTCTTTGCAGCAAAGAAAAATTTTTGTGTTTCTTTACTACAAAATCTTTGCTCTTAATTTCCTCATTGTTGCAACCAATCTCTTGAAACTTTTGCCTTTTTTAATGTTGAAATAGGTTTAGAAGTTACCTTTGTACACAACAATATTATCCAGATACGAAGCGACTAAATTTATTATTTATTGCACTTACACCTCATATTCTAAGTTTAATATTCCAACTTATTTGTCTTTTTTTCATATTTCAAAATTCGTAAATCAAATTGCACAAGGATAAAAGTAGAAGAATAATATAATCTCTCTACTTCAATGCATTTTTTAATATTACTTTTACACATAAGGGGTGACAATGTTACACAAATTATCACTTAAGGGGAGCTATGTGAGATTTCTGAAACTTTTAAGGGTATAAGGTGATATTATGATAAACCTCAGGAGAGGTTTCTGAAATTAATTCTACACTTTAATAGTAAATGCAAATTTCACATCGGGAAAATGACCAATTTCGTTCCTAAACTTTTTTATCGTGTCAATTTGGTCCTTACTTAATTTTGTTGGCCAATTTAATTCCTATACTTATTTATTTATTGGTTCCCAATGAGGAACGCCGCGGCAACACCACCATGTAATTTTGATCAAACTTCTAATTAACCACCTAAGCAGGGGTATTTCGGATACTTCACTACTGGGTTGTAAGATAAGAAGTAAAATTGAAGGAAAAATTTACCAATACATTTTTATCAGTGAGAAAAACCCAAAACCAATAAGAAAACAAGGCCGGTGAGTTTTGAGCAGCTGAATATGGCACACAACATGCTGAGAGGGAATATTCCATAGAGCATATGCCAGCTTCCAAGTTCCAAGGCTTCAGAATTTCACCTATTCTTATAACTTTTTCACTGGTGAGCCTCCGATGTGTTTGGCCTTGCCAGCATTCGACGATCGCCAGAATTGTTTGCTAGCTAGGCCATCGTAGCTCCCTGAGGCTCAATGTAAGGCATTCTTGTCTAAGAAAATTCATTGCAGTGCATTCAAGTGTCATCCACTTATTCCGACCTTGCCCCCTCCACCACCTTCACCTCTAGTGTCGGTGCCCTCATCGCCTATCTCTCTCCTCGTTCCTTTCCTCCATCGCCAGTTTATACACCTCCATATTAGGATCCAAGCGCGGAACACATAACTATTGAGATATCAAGTACACAACAATTTAATGATAAACAAGTCACAAGTATGAAAAATAAGCGATACACAATATTTAACGTAGTTCGACTCCACCTTGAGCCTACGTCTACGGAGAGAAATCCGTTCTTTATTATGAGAGAAAAATTCTATACAAGAATACAATTTGAATCCAAACCCAACTCTTGTATACCATCTCTCATCTCCCAAGAACCCTCTCTCAGTCCCCATGTATAAGGCCACATGTTGCCTTTTTGTGCTCTTTGTGTGTCTCTTGTTTAGTATACCAACCCACCTATTTATAAATAATATTATTTGGTCAAAACCCAAATAATAATAAGAAATCAATTCTAATTTCTAAGCTTATACATAATAGGAAATAACTTCTAATTCTAAACAAAATAGGAAATTTCTTAACTACTATTTCAAGTAACTAAAACCAATTAGAAAATTAGTTACTTCCATACAAAACAAGAAACCTGCTTAAAAGATATTAAGCCAATTTTCTAACAAATCTCCATATTGGCGAATATTTCTTTTAGCAACCATTTGCCTTCAACTACCAAATAATATGGTACTGAACTATACACTCGAATCAATACAGTCCTGATACCAAATTGATTCAATCGGCAAATAAACATGTGTAGTTGCCCCGAATCTAACCTCCAATTGACTCGCGAGAAAGTGCCTCAATTCACCGTCTTCCTTTGCAGGATTTCTTCTTACCGCCACTTGCAACCTGAGATCTCCTTTTGTGAGTTCTAACTCTAATCATTGAGGCAACCAAGTGGTAAAATCACCATATTTCTTCCCATCCTCATGACTATTTCGCTACATGTAGTTTTCAAAACTCCACCTAAAATGAAAAACTCGTAACTGTCAGAGTCTTCTAACGCATGAAAATTAGATTTCTTTGTTTCTTTGGGACATGTGCCACACCACTCAAAGAACATAACTAAAATCTAAAATCCACCGAGATAAAATATCAATCGTTAGAGGCGTGAGAAAGTCTCCATCGATTCACGTCCAAAATTGCATTAGACTCTGCCTTTTTTTTTACCCTTGAATCAGCTGCCAAGATTCACCGTCAAGTACCTCCATGCCTTTTGTCTTCTCATCATTTACCATCAATGCTTTTTACGCAGCGATTGAAACAAAGATACTACTCATGTAATTGTTCAATGGGTAACAGCCACCAACCCGCTTGATCTCAATAGTTAATCAGGATCCAACCATAAATAACAAATCTCTTGATCCAACTATTCAATTTGTTGGGATCCAAATGCTTGTAAGCAGCCCAATTTCGCAACCAAGCTCTAATACCACTTGTTAGGATCCAAGTACGGAACATACAACTATTGAGATATCAAATATATAATAATTTAATGATAAACAAGCCATAAGCATGAAAAATAAGCGACACACAATATTTAACGTGATTTGGCTCCACCATTGAGTTTATGTCCACGGAGAGAAACTCGTTCTTTATTATGAGAGGAAAACCCTGTATAAGAATACAATTTGAATCCAAACTCAACCCTTATATACCATCTCTCATCTCTCAAGAACCCTCTCTCACTTCCCATGTATAAGGTTACATGTTGCCCTTTTGTGCTCATGGTGTGTCTCTTATATAGTATGCCAACTTACCTATTTATAGATAACATTATTTTGCCAAAACCCAAATAATAATAGGAAATCAATTCTAATTCCTAGACTTATACAGAATAGGAATAACTTCTAATTCTAAACAAAATAGTAAATTTCTTGACTACTATTTCAAGTAATTAAAATCAATTAAAAAACTAGTTACTTGCATACAAAACAAGAAACCTGTCTAACAGAAATTAAGCCAATTTTCTAACACTCCATCATCCTCACCACCTCTACCGCCACCTATTTACTCTCCTCCTCCACCGCCTTCTCTGTCACCGCCAGTTTATTCTCTGCCACCTCCTCCTCCCTCACCCCCTCCACCTTCTTCTCCTCCGCCACTACCTCCTTCACCTCTCCACCTTCTCCATCACCTCTTCGTCCAGCTATCTCACCACTTCCACCTTCCCCTCCACCTCCTTTGCCGACTCCGCCATACTGTGTGCGGTCACCGCCGCCTCCACCACCAAATTCTCTACCACCTCCTCTATACTCTCCTCCACCTATCCCCTACTATTATAACTCACCCCCACTTCCACCACCAAACTCACCCCCACCGCCACCATCAGTGTACATTTACTCATCACTACTAGCGTACATTTACTCATAGCTACCCTTACCACCACTTGTACACTCGCCACCTCCACCGCCAGTTGTACACTTCTCGCCTCCGCCTCATTCACCTCCACCACCACCTTGTATAGAACCCCTTCCACCACCATTACCACTGCCTTGTAAAGAACCCCCTGATTAAATCTCCTTGATTTGTTATGTTAATAGCTTAAGTTCGGTGGGTTTTTCTCACTGATAAAAATGTGTCGGTAAATTTTCCCTTTGATTTTACTTCTTATCTTATAGCCCCAGCTGTGAAGTACCCAAAATATCCTTACTTAGGTGCTCAATTAGAAACTTGATCGAAATTACATGGTGGTAGCGCCGCAGTAGTGTTCCTCAATTGGAACTGATAAATAAGTATAGGGATTAAATTGATCAAAAAAATTAAGTAGGGACCAAATTGACATTATAAAAAAAAAATTAGGGACGCCATTTTCCCTTTCACGTCGCAAAACTTTCCAAGTTGGTAATTTTTGTTCTCGTTTGAGCTTTTCTCTCTGTACTACACTCACTACTGTTCTCCCTTATGTTAGTTGGAAGAGGAGAAGGTCTAACCAAAGAAGTGAAAGAACATTGGAGTAATTGGTGTGAAATTCCGACTTAATATATATTCATGTGATCTTTTACTCGTACAGTATGAGCTTCTAAACTACCCTTATCCTTCATTTCGCCAACAATATGTTAAGAGTAAGTTGTCTTGCTAATCCAAGCATTAAAAGTGAAAAACTTTTAAAAAGATGCTTTTTTCTCCTGCAATGTGGTTTCTTTTTTTTTTTTTTTTAATAAATAGTAAAATAATGCCAAATGTCCCACAAAATTTTTAATGTCAATCATCATGCTGAAATGCAGGATATAACTGTATAAGGAGAAAAGCATTCAGAAACAGTTTTGCCAAAAAATTGATTGAAAATAGAGGAAAATGCTGAAGCAACACCTTATTGCCTTCGTTTTTGTCTCTTGCATGCCATTCCTCCAAACCACTTATTCTTTATCACTCAGCGGTAAGTTGTCCAACGGTGTCCTCCTCAGCAATGATGCTTCAGGGAAGTATGCAGTCATAATTGATGCTGGAAGTACTGGCAGCAGAGTCCACGTCTTGCACTTTGATAGAAACTTGGATTTGGTTCAAATTGGCCAAGATTTTGAGTTTTTTAAAGCGGTGTGGAATCCCATTCATCTGTTTCTTTGTATTTCTGCTTTCACCTCTTGCAGTACTTAAGGAAAGCCCTGTTGCTCTTTATCCTGGATTTATGTTTCGTCTGTTTTAATTCATGATTTTGGGATGTAGATAAAACCAGGGCTGAGTTCATATGCAGATGGCCCTGAAGCTGCTGCACAATCTCTTAAGCCCTTGCTTGAAAAAGCTGAAGCAATTGTCCCAAAAGAATTTCGTGCTAATACTCCTGTTAAAGTTGGGGTAGGTAATTCTATTTAAGCACTTTGCTACTAATATGCTTTAATTTTGCCTGATACTGTGTTGTGAAAAAATGCATTGGCAGGCAACTGCAGGTCTTAGACTGTTGAAAGGTGACTCCTCAGAAAAGATTTTGCAAGCGGTAAAATATGGTTGTATACTTTTGTTCGTGCAACAAGAGTCTTTTTATGGACTCTTCCTTTCCACCCCTTGGTTTCTAAAACTCTTTTCTTCTAAAAAAGAAATACATACTGAGTTTTTTTGTGTTTCAAGTCTCAAGATTATGGTTTCTTTACTGAAGGTAAGAGATTTGTTGAAGAATGAAAGTTCACTCAAGTACAAGGCAGAGTGGGTGACAATTCTTGAAGGTTCACAGGAAGCTGCCTACATATGGGTGAGTTCTGTGTTGTTCTCATAGTACTTATTTTGCAGCTTCTAGTTCATGTGTCTTAATCAGGCATTATGATGAGAAATATTTATATCTATATGATAAACTTTGTAATTGAAGATTTTGATTTTTCTCTGCGAAAGTATAGGTACTAAAACATTTGGTTGAAATCTCCATCACCTCTGTAAACACCTACTGATATGCATTCTTCTGAATATATTAGGCTGCCATAAATTATCTGTTGGGAACAGCAGGCAAAAAATACTCAGAAACTGTTGGCACAATTGATCTTGGTGGTGGATCAGTACAGATGACATATGCTGTGTCAAAGGAAGTAGCTCTAAAGGCCTCCAAGCTGTCCAAGAAAGAAACATATATTCAGGAAAAGAATCTTCTCGGAAGTACATATCACCTTTACGCTTACAGGTATGCTGCTCCATTAGATGAATATGGTCTCTTGATTCAAGTGATTATACCTTAATCTGTTGCTCTGCTTTACTTCACTTTCTTGAAAGGCATTAATCTTTTCTTGTTTAGCATTGGATCAATTATCTTTTGCTTCCTGCTTTTTGGAGTTGCCATTCTATCCAATTGATATAGCTTTAACATTACAATTCTTGACTTTCCCGTATAGTTACCTGAACTATGGTTTACTAGCTGCTCGTGCTGAGATTCTGAAGGTTTCAAGAAACTCGAGTCATCCATGCATACTCTATGGTTACCATGGTAGTCACATAATGCTATGCCTTCTTATATCCATTGAAAGTTGCCATATCCTCAGTTTCTTAGTAACCATAAAAAATTCAGAAATGTAGAAACTGGGAGATGCTCAATCAACCTGAAAGTAATTATTAAAAAAAAAAAAGAAAAGAAAAAAAAAAAGAAGAGGCATTGACTTAAAATGTTTCT